ATAGTATATATCTACCAGTCCCTGGTGACTTTCGGTATTGTAGGCTTCACTTCCTGGAACTCGGAGTTTCGTCCGGTCACGTGATGGCGTGATGACGTAATGACGCGTTTCGCCCAATCGGCTTCCTCAGATCACATCCTGATGTAGCTAGTCCTGCCTTTTAAAGCCCATACATGGGCGTGGTTTGTGTCAATCATTATAGAAACTCCCCATAAACTAATTAGGGGTAGATCTTATAAATGTCTATATTTAGAAAGTCCATGACATGTAAAACAACAAGAAAAACAAGAAAAACAAGTATAGCATAAAGCTGATCTTCTAATTAAAAGATAACTCATCCAAATGATTCATAAAACAGCAGTAGATAGTAGTAATAATAATAATAGCACATAGATAGCACATAAATACTTCTTGTTAGCGTCTTAATATAATTCCACAAGAAGAAGAAAATGTGTATATATATACACACAAAGTCATATATACATATATATGGAAAAAAGGGGATATACATACACATATAGGTCATATATATATATTTTTATATATAAAATTTATATTAAAAAACCTAGGTAAAAAAACAAAGAAAGCCTTCTATAGAGGGGAAGAAGAAGGAAGTAAGTTAATAATCTTTAAAAATTCTAAAAAATCTAAAAGACAGCACTTTAGATTTTTTAGAATTTTTAAAGATTATTAACTTACTTCCTTCTTCTTCCCCTCTATAGAAGGCTTTCTTTGTTTTTTTACCTAGGTTTTTTAATATAAATTTTATATATAAAAAATATATATATGACCTATATGTGTATGTATATCCCCTTTTTTCCATATATATGTATATATGACTTTGTGTGTATATATATATATATATACACATTTTCTTCTTCTTGTGGAATTATATTAAGACGCTAACAAGAAGTATTTATGTGCTATCTATGTGCTATTATTATTATTACTACTATCTACTGCTGTTTTATGAATCATTTGGATGAGTTATCTTTTAATTAGAAGATCAGCTTTATGCTATACTTGTTTTTCTTGTTTTTCTTGTTGTTTTACATGTCATGGACTTTCTAAATATAGACATTTATAAGATCTACCCCTAATTAGTTTATGGGGAGTTTCTATAATGATTGACACAAACCATGCCCATGTATGGGCTTTAAAAGGCAGGACTAGCTACATCAGGATGTGATCTGAGGAAGCCGATTGGGCGAAACGCGTCATCACGTCGATTACGTCATCACGTGACCGGACGAAACTCCGAGTTCCAGGAAGTGAAGCCTACAATACCGAAAATCACCAGGGACTGGTAGATATATACTATACAGTACTGGCAAAAGGTTATTTGGCTGCTATATGAAAACGGAGAGTATGGATTCTACTTATTTTCAATAAAGCTGTTTTTAATTTTGGAAGCTGGTGTCCTGCCTATTTACACCAACATTGAAGTCCTGGTTTTTGGATTTAAAGCTGGATCAGTTAGAGCAGGCTTTTACTGCTCTCCTTTTGTGAGTGATATTCCTAATTCTATTTGCTGGTTTTTATATTTATGTAAAACAATATTATACTATGTTTCTCCATTTTTTATCTCTTTTTACATATGTTCTTATGTGATTTGGAGAATTTAAGGAGACATATATTTCCCTTGTAAGTTATTTGTTTTGGATATTGAATTTTTACACTATCACATTTGCATTTTGCACTTATGTCACATTGTATGTGATTATATACACACTGTGTTTTTGCACAAAATATTTGCACATATTATTGCACATTTGCACTTTTTAACATTTAAAGATACAGCGCACCTATTTTTATTGTTTGGATTACAAGTATGTCCCGTCTAGGCCCTTACGATCTGTTGAAGACTTACGTCTATCTTCTGTCTGTAATCCCACCTCTGATGCTTCGCAATGAGTATATTTTAAAATAGCATTCCCTGTTTGTCATCCTTTTATGTCCCAATAGTGTGTGCACAGCAGAATTTAAAGAAGCTGACTATTAAAACCCAATCTAAAAATATTATCCCCAAGCAGAAAGCCTAGTGCTGAATGCTAAAAATGAAGAGATCTATTCAGTTGATTTATTTTTCACCAATAGCTCCTACTATAAATGCTGTTTTATTCCTTGTGAGGAAATGTATGTAAATATAGCTATCATGATGTTTTCTTAATGGTTTCTCTGCACAGGAAGCCCAAAAGGCAATTAAAAGATTTCAATGAAGAGGGTGAATAATTATGACATGAGAGAATCAGGCAGAATGATCTTGCTATAAGCTAAATAAGCTTTTATTCAGCTACAAATTGACTTTACAAGACCTATTCCCAAAAAATATGAAGTTGATATTTCATTTGTAAAATATATTCCATATAATAGAGAACATCACTTTTAATTCTTTTATAGTCAGTAATAGAATGTAGAGATTTATACAGGTGTTTGTCTGCAATGTAAGTGATACATTTTTATTTTTAAGATGTCTGATTATCTGATTCAATGTCTAGTGCTGTACCCCTTGGTTTACAAATAGGGTACCACCCTTGCCTCTGCAGACACCTTCATTCTGTATATGTTTTTTATTTATGAAGGAAAATCATATTTTACAGCCTTGATCTGAGTTGGTATTTTTCAGTTTGCCTGTTTTGTCCAAAATTCTATCCATTAGTTTGTGAAAAAGTTATCGCCATGTGATTAAATCACAATTACATTTGACATTACGCTTCTCGTTCCCAATAAATCTTTTGATTAATGCATAAATATAACATGATATGGTTAAATTTATGTTCTTGGATTGAGAAAGACAACAGATTTTGACAAAATTATATAATGTTGCCATGCAGTTTATTTTTGTTTTTGTTTTAGTAATTCAGAATTATTCACTAAAGTGAAAATTATGTGGAATTCAAATTAAATGTAAAATATTACACCAAAATAGTCATTCTGGAAAAATTCTCTTAGTTTGCTATGATTCTAGTTCAGCTCCTTTGGCCTTACATTTGAAATTCACTTTGAATTGCTAACAATTTTCACTTTAGTGAATAATCCTGTCAGTTTACTGGACCCTCTGCTAGCGAGAAGCATATGAATACCAATTTTTCACTTTCTCCCTGAGTGCCAAAACCACCAAGAATTTGTTATTTATATACAGAATCAGTAGTATATTAAATAAGAATTGTACTTTTAGTCAGCGACAGGCAGTGTCTTCGGTATGGTAGTGCTGACACTGAACCCATGAACCAAAGAAACTCTGTGGTCCCCAAATGCCAACTAAGAATAAAATAAATAAGGGGGGAAATGGCAAGCTAACTGTTGAATGTCTTTGCTCTAACCATCTACACCTCTTCTTAATCAACTTCAAAATATATCCTCAAAGGTTTAGAAAAGTTTAAAAAAAAGAAAAAAGGGGAAGAACAGGTAATACACGGCACAGTTCTCAAACTACTGAATCTTTCGACTATATGGTTTCAATTACATAAGGTGGATACAAAATTAGCACCATTTATTTTAAATTTTTTTGGGACACGACTACATAAAGCTATGCATAAAACATTGGCATTAAGCATTGGTGAACACCAAAGCACAAAAAAAAAAATTGGTGACTGCAAAATCACCCTAAAATTTTCAAATATTTTAAAATTTTAGATTATTAGCACATTGCTTACTGCACGGCATATAAAACCTTTTTTTAAAGGTTTTAGAATAAACATTAATTTTAACGGTTTGCA